AAATTAGATATCTGCATGAAATAATTTTGAAAAAAAATATTTTCAATAAGCAACTTTGAAAATATTTTTGTAAAAATATATTTTAAGATATAAAGTATATATTTATAAGTTTACAAATATTTTTATTATATATTTATTTAATAAACACAAGTTAAAAAGGCTTTATTTTAATAATTTTCAAATAAAATCTTTCTTTGACTGGTATTTATTAAATAAATATGCAATAAAAAATTTTTTAAACTTATATATTTTTTATTTTAAAATATATTTTTACAAAAATATTTTTAAATAATTTCTTTTTCAAAGTTATTTCATATAAACAAATAATTAAATATTTAATCTTTTTATCATTATATAATTATATAATATTCGATATTAATATTTGAACCAGTCCAATATCTTGAACTAGTTTAAAAAAATAAAATTTATTGAAAGTGAATAAATAAATAAATAAATAAATAAATGAATAAATCAACTAAATATGATCATTTATCTATTATTTAATGGAGATTTTCAACAAAAATAAATTAGATAATCCAAGTTATATTAACGAGGTTGCTTTTAATCCTTCAATTGAAATGGAAATGCTTTTCTCGAATAAACGATTTCGCTCGTTTCTTTATACGACAAATCCCTTCCAAATCGCATCCAATATATTTGTTCAATATTTTTTTGAATTTCGACCATGGACAAAAAAGTTGAATGTGGCCATTTTGATTGTCATCGTCTTCACATCCAGGGATCTGTGTAGGTTGTTCATTATACAATAGTTGTACAAATGTTTCATCATTGTCATTGTTAGGATAGTTATAATCATCCTCGATTGATAATAGTCGTCGTCGTTTGTGGTGTCTTGATTTTTTATTATCATTAATAGCAGTTAAAGAGGAGAGTGACGAACATTTATAAATTTCAAAATAAATATTTGCCGCAAATGGTTGTATTAAACTCGATCGAAATTTACGAGATGCTATTTTTTCTTGTGGATCTTTGGCTTTGAGCAAATGTTTATCTTTATTCAAATTCTGCATAAGGTAAAAAAATTATTAGAATTCTGAGATTTTGAGGAAAAAGACTAAAATAATAAACACGCACCAATAATGTCATTAAAAAGTAGATCGTCTCTGCATGGGCAAACCTCAAAACACTTTTAAATTTAGCTTTCCCAGCGAGTCCATTATCAACTGTACGCACAAAACTCGTGATCAATTGGCAAGCCATCAAAGAGTTCAATCGATTGCCATATGAATATAAATAATAATGATGCATATCATTGAAATATTCCATTGTCAGTAGATCGGCGTCAGTTAATAGACTACACCAGGTGGTGGTATTCCGAAAGAAAGCCACCTCAAAGCCACAAGCCCGATGTATGTGGTCAACATGAATGGGTTTGAGTGGTGGCGTGATTCCTAGTTTTTCGGTGATTCGATTAGCGATAGGTGATATTTTTTCTTTAATGTATGTAATCATTTCATGGTTTGTGCTTCTTGCTATAGTGGAACGCCACTTCGGACAAGCCTTTTTCATGGCTAGCTCCTTGTCGAGTCCCTAAATATATATCAATTCTATCAATAAATGATTATATATGAAACAATATATATACACATCGAGAAACCGTTATAAATCACGCTATGATCTTTTCTTTACCGTTGGCTCAGTATGCATAAAAACAGACTGTAGCGAAGATTTACCGAGAGATCCTTGTCCTTCAAATAATCCGAGAGCGTACGCAAATCCAGATTGCCCAGCTCTTCAATTTTTTTGAATTATAAATATAAACATAAATTTTTAATATCAACAGTTTAAATGATTATAATATGGATACCTAGAGGCAGAAGAACTAGAAAAATCTACCACATTCGATGCATAGGTGATATTCTCCCAAAACGTTCTGTATCGACTTTTTGAACGTTTACCCATCAGATAGAGCTCATTTTCGCCGTCGCGCGAAAGCAACCCGGCTGATGATATTTTGAACGGATTTTTCTGATGATTTTAAAATTAAATTCATATGCCGAATATTTATATACTCAGATATTTAAAGGATACTTACCCAACTTTTAATCCACAACGTTTCTTCAGAAACTTGAGAAAAGTTCCCAAACAAGATTGGCAATTCATCAAATTTTATAATATCACTTGCTACAGGATACCTGGCACCTATATACATATATATATATATCTATATCTATCACGTGAGGGTCTATATGCGATATTGAATGATATATCATTATTTTTAAATACCATGACGTGCAACCAAATG